TGTTGAAGTGAAATGAGCCTCCAGACATTCAACACAATACCTGGCAGTTTGTTGCCTCCGTCTCTTTGTTTACTGACTTCTTTGAGCTAACAAGGACCGCGTAGAGAATGTGAGCGAAAGATAACCGAAGAGCTTAACCTTTTTGCTCAGGCTTATTGCTTTTGTGATTTTTTTTTCTTTTTTTCTTTTTTTTTTTTAGCAAAAGCATCCAGAAAGCTTTGCAGAAGCAGGAGTAGAATAATTTCCCGCTTGTTTTCTGAACCTGTTTTTATCCACCTGACCATAAACACTGTTTAGTTGTTTAAAAAAAAAAAAGTATATATAGTATATACTTGTTTTAGTAACGTGGATGTTGAGGTTCAGTTATAAAAATCACTTTCTTAGTAACAAAACTATCTTCTCTCTAATTTAATTTTACTTTACAAAAGTTGTTTGAAAGGTCAGGAAAGGTCAGTAAGAGAACTTTGGGTGTAATGTTTGATGCCATGTTCTACCTTGTGTTTATCTCCTCATCTTTTACCAAGTCTTAGGTCAAGCACCCTCAGCAGAAAAGCCCAGAACATTAGCTATTTGCTAAGATAAAAAAAAAAAAAAGAAAAAGAATTATCTCGTGCTTGGCTGTACCTAAACGTTCTCTGTGTACAGAAGTTGTCAACTGTACACAGGTTAGATTTTCTCTGAAGTATTTGAATGTATTTATTGCTCTGTATAAAGGAGATACACTAGGAAACTACATTTATTAAAATCAAGCTCAAACAGATGAACCTGTTGGTCAACTTCTGGGGCAAAACCAATGCAAACCAAGGTTGTAGTTTGCATTTTGAACATAATATCTTACCAGAAGCCTCAGGCAGTACTTTGAAATAATAATAAATATTTCTTTACAGAATGGTTATTGGAGGTCCGAGGTCAAAACAACTGTGATCATATGAATTGTGCTTGATCTGTTGCAGACAATATTTTCATCAAATCGTTGATGATATATTTTCATACATTTAATACTTTGGAATATAAGTTGTCATTATTCGTTAACCTTTGTTTGTCTGTTAGATCAAATATACACGATAGACTGTTTGTTGGTTTGTTTTACCTAAAGAAAATGAACCAACGTGCTCACTGAATCCTAATATAACTAACCTAATATAGTGTACACAGTAACATTAACCCTTTAGGTCACATAAGTAGAACTCAAGGCCCAGGGGCCAAATCCAGCCCACCACATCATTAAATGTGGCTCACCAAAATGACCATACTAATGTTGATGATGGTTTAAATGCTGTAACTAAAATATATATGCGTGAAATATATTCATGGCAAGGAAGTTACAATTCTAATTCCCTAATTGCAATTTTGGTCAGACCTACAGTTACCATAAACTGCATCTCCCATAATGCATTTTATTTCATATCCTGGTGTACATAAAAATATTTATATAGATAAAATTTCTCTCTATATATTTATATTTATATATATACTATGTATACTTTTTTTTAAATTCCAGGTTTTCCAGGCCTCATCCTACGCAAGTAAAAGAATGTGTGTTTTCATTTGACTGTCCTGCCTACAGTCCAGATCCATTTCCTAATGAAAAATATCTGTCACATCATTGAGAGAGTATTCTGACAACGTTGGCTGCTGAAGAGTTTATTGTAAAAATGACAAAAATTCAAGGACAAAATGTTACGATCCTCAGTTTCTGTTTTATTAAATTGTGCAATCAAAGAAAAGAACAAGAAGAGCCCCACAAGGCAAACCTTTCTCTCATGTCACTTTTGTGTAGTGTCATGCAGGTTCCATTTCCAAATTAGTATATTGTCAACACAAAGCATTACGTTTGTCAGTAAAAAAGAAAGAAAAAAAAACTCTACTAGTCCTTTCCTTGTCCTTTTACCTGTCAAATAAAGGCCAGAGTGCATTAGCAATTTACAAATATCAGCTTTTATTGGATTTTATTAAGAACACCAACTCGTCCTAAAACTGATTTTTTACAAATCTGCCCTATTGTCCGTAAAAGGTCCAACCATAATTGCCAAACAGACAGACATAAAGGTGTAATTCAATCAGATTCAACTTTGACCTGAGGGTGATTGAATGTCTCCTTCGAGCGTTTGGCCTGAGTGAACGTCTCTGTTCTGTGTGCAGCAGGGCGGCTGGTTTTCCAGGACTTCCTGAGGACAGCTTACAGTGAGGAAAACCTGTTAATTTGGCTGGCCTGTGAAGACTACAAGAATGGCTAAAAGAATCTTCTCAAATTTTGTCGGAGTGGATGCACGGAGACAGGTATGACACAGACTGACGTAAAAGAAGTGGCACTCTGTAATTTAAATGAGTCTCAGTAGCTGCTCGCCCAACATTGAAGTGCTTAGGCCAGAGAGAGATTTTGTTTGACTCCAAGAACTTCCAAACTAGAACTTAAACTGTTAAAACAATCTGCAAACAGAAACAAGTCAGGGGTGAAATAAAGAGTTGCTGTTTTTCTGACTGCAGATAAATATTGACGAGGGAAGAAATCGGCTACAATCTCTCTCAGCCGGGACCAGATTGCTTTGACAGGGCACAGAGACTGATATACAGTCTGATGGAAAACGACAGTTATCCATGATTTCTGAAATCTGAAATCTACCAAGCTCTCCTGGAACAGGCGTAACGGTAGTGAAAGTGACTTGAGGAAAATGAATCTCAGCCGAGACCTCTCTGAAAGGTTGACTCTGTTCTTCTGCACACTTTTCTTTACAATTCCAGTGTCAACAGAAAGTCTTGCCTGTCAGATGAGGCAGAAGTCAAATGAGATAGCCAGACGCGGGCTTGGAGATTGGCAGATCGTCATTATCTTAAAAATGTATGAATTTTTTTTACAGACCCTTTTTTCAGGTTCTTACTGTGTCGACCTTGTGTTGCACACAGACGCTATAATTTTGTCAAAGGCTGAAAGCACATTTCCAAAAAAGGTGGCGTTTATTTGAAAAAGACAGTTTAAATAGAAGTGTCTAAGTAATTTGTCGGCACCAATCCATCCCTGTACCCTTGAAAAATGTGAGAAAAGATACAGAAAAGCCATTTCAATATGTTCAAAATATGCAGTGAGTTTTTCTCTGTGTGACAGGTTTTGTGCGCCCTGGCCTTGTGCATGTTCAAGCCGTTTTATGTAATTTTGCTTTAATACATGACAAAAGTGTCTTGACATTTTACGTATTAGTTCTCAAATCCTGGATGCATTTTAGACAATCAAAATGTTAATATCCATTCAATATTAAAAAGAAATTGGATTTTTAAATAATTATTAAAAAGAAACAATTTATGTGTAAACACATACATGTATTATCATTTATGAACAATATAACAAATATTGTTATATACTAAACTGATTATTTAACCTGTTAGGATTTGGAGTTTAGGGCTGTTTGCGTGTGTACTTGCATATATGCGTTTCGCGTATATGCAAGATTAGGTCCTAAAACATGCTGCCAAGTGATTAGTTTGTGATTAAAAGTCCAAAAAGTATTTTTTATGAATATTTCAAAAATCACCCAAAACATGCCTTACTATAACCTTACCATCGTGAAAAAATCCATAAAAATAAAAAGTCCCCAAAATGCACTAAAATATTTTTTATGAATATTTTAATCACGAAATATTCACTGCAGCATGTTTTAGGACCTAATCTT